TACAAGTTAGCCACTTTTTCCAATTTTGAATCTTGAATCTTTTAAATCTCTAGGTATGATTTTATAAAATTTTGGCGCTAAATAGAGATATGTATAACCGCAGCATGGTATGATAGTGAGTGATAATGTGTAAGAAATAAAGTCTTATATCATACATATGAACATCTGCAGCCAGTGGGATAAAGTTTAGATTTTTTGAACAAAAATATCTAAATTATAGATATGTGATAAACATGCAAGCTCCTCATGCTAATATGCCATATATGAGATGAAGCGCGATCAGTGCATGGTACAAGGGAATTCTTTTAAGTTTTGCATATAGAAACATAGTAGGCCGCGCGGATCGAACGTCAGTACTGAATCTTAACCTCACTCTTTAGTAAACTTAAATTCAAAGTTTCACAACAATACGTGCAGTGTTCTCACTACAGTGAATTTTTAAGTGTCACCAAGTCATTAGAAAAATGGAACTCAACCGAGAACATTTTCGCGCCATAATTTATTACAACTTTCAGAGACAATTATCGCAACAAGAATGCCTTGCTGAGTTACTGTCTGTTTTCGGCAACGAAGCGCCACATCAGTCGACAATTTCCCGTTGGTATGGAGAATTCAAACGTGGACGGGTGAGTCTTAGCGACGATCCCAGGGTGGGTGCACCAAAAACGGCAGTCACCCAGAAAAACGTCGATGCTGTGCGCAAACTCATCATTGAAGTTAGACATGTGACATATCGCGAGATTAAGGCGTCCTTGAAGATCTCAAAGAACTCAATTAAAAAATTTTACATGAAGAATTAGGAGTAAGAAAATTAGTTTCTCGTTGGATACCCCACCTGTTGACTGAAGAGCAGAAAGCAGCCAGCGTTAATTGGTGTCAAAAAACGCTTGACCGTTTCAATTCCGGAAACTCGAAAAATGTGTACAGCATTGTTAGTGGTGAGAAATCGTGGATTTACTGTTATGAACCAGAAAATAAACGACAGTCAGCTGTTTGGGTGTTCCAAGGTGAAGAAAAGCCAACAAAAGTCATCCGCTCTCGAAGTGTTTCGAAAAAGATGGTCGCGACATTTGTGTCAAAAGCGGGTCATATTGCAACAATTCCTCTTAATGACCAAAGAACTGTTACTGCGGATTGGTATACCACCATTTGTTTGCCAAAAGTCATCACCGAGCTTCGAAAAATCAACCTCGAAAGAAGAATCATCCTCTACCATGACAATGCAAGCTCGCACACAGCCCAAAAAACAAGGCAGTATTTAACAGAAGAAAACGTGGAATTATTGGACCATCCTCCATATAGCCCCGATCTAAGTCCTAACGATTTCTTTACTTTTCCGAAAATTAAAAGCAGACTGCGTGGTCAAAGGTTCCAGTCATCAGACGAAGCAGTTGTCGCATTCAAAAATGCCGTTTTGGATCTGCCAGCAAACGAGTGGAATAAGTGCATCGAAAATTGGTTCGAGCGCATGCAGATGTGTGGAGAATACTTCGAAAAGTCATTTAACACTACCTAACGTGTTGTTTTATTTCCATATGCAAAACTTAAAAGACATCCGTCGTATAATGTACGAAGATACAAATATAACTTTCTTTAAAATATAATTGACATGGATGTTCCAACGTAAGTAAGGATCCAATACTACACCAAGGTACTGTATGTGCCAAACGTACAGTATTTGCAGTTTTTGATCATTAAAGTTGAAGGAAATATCTGCTACACATCAAAAAGATGATTTGTCATGAGGTTAAAATGCGAGAAAATACGTGGTTAGATTAATGAATTTTTTCATGTTTGTATCATATACAAACTATTTGAAATGAATTCCTCCACTTGATGAGAATGATGAAGGTAGTGATTGTAAAGAAGTGATCAGGGCAGCTTAGGAATACCACTTATGCAAATTGATTTGATGTTAATGATATCCTATACCTCGATTAAGTGCATTTCTTGTTTACCATAATACGTACTATAGGGTACTAATGACTAAGGTTTACAACGCATCTAATAATTTTACCGAGGAAGTATAGACAATATCTCGCCCACCTCGTGTCTGATACCTGCATTTGAAGTCCCTCAACTCGCCTACCAAAGATGCAATATCTACAACCCTGTGGCGCACATCAAGTGAGAACCTATAGGTACCCTAACAGATAGCAGTCTTTTGGTTTCTCCTATACACGATTTGCCACTCTCACACGGGACTTGATATACGCATCTGTTTTTCAGGTCAGATCCTTCCGGCTTCGTCTTAGAGAGGTAGCTCCTCAGGGTGTTGCTGGACTTAAAGGCCATTTTAATGTTATAGGAACGTGCTATTTTCTCTGAGAATCATTTAACATAAAGTATGGTTAAGAAACTGGCAGGTTGATCAGCTTCCGAATCCCTATGCCAGTTTCGTCGCTCTTTTAGATTATTATAAGTTTTATTAATAAATTTTTCAATCAGTCAGATATGTGAATTATGTCTAATAGGTGCGTGTAATTATTGGGGTTGGAAGAACATCAAAAAATTGTGATACATGTCCCATCATCCACAGCCCCCCGCTCCCAATTTCTTATCTATAAAACATGTTTCAAGAATGATCAGGATACCCGAAACATCAAAAAACGGAGTTTGAGTAAATTTTATTTTGTTTTTGTTTCTTAGATTATCCTCCGCATCCACTGAAATACTAAATGAACATTAATTAAACGCTATCGTAAAACTAAGAATGTATTCGTGAAAATGAACCAATTTTAATGAGCTCTATCTAATTATTAAATAAGTTGTCAATAACATTTATAATTTTGATTAAAAATCAATTTAAACCGACCAAAATGGACTTCTTATGTTAGGCCAAAACAAATGGTGTTAGCAATATACAATTAATAAAAAATGAGGAAAACAATAGTTTATTCACTTGAAAAGTTACGGTTTGCTGTGAGCTAGGATTATTATTTTAACGTCGACGACCGATGTCAGCAAACGAGAAACCGCATTGAAAAAATAGATATAGCGACTCGAGTGGCTCGCTGCCGAGCTCGTGTCCTTGAGTTCGATGGATTCAAGTGTGACTAGAAGGAATTTGTCATCACATGGTAATAACTACGCTTTTTATAATTGGGTTTACAAGTTGCATGACCTTCAATGGGAAAATGTAGTGAACGGAGAAGTAGCTACATGTATTTAACAAATCACCAATATGTTTTCAACAGTGCTTCTAAAAAAATATTGTAAAACCTACATTTTACTAAATAATTCTTCGTTCCTGTCAACATGCAGATTACAAGCTAGGAAAAAAACGCATCCTACTAAAAAAATAAAATGATACAACATATATTTTTCCCAATATCCTTCTTTGTCTAGAACGAATATCCTCTATGATTATTCATGCTATCCAATCAACATTATTTAATATTCTATCATTAGTTCTGGGATAAGTAAAAAGATTTTTCATCAAGCAGACGCATACTCATGTATCGTTTAAATGACTTCCTTGTTTATCGCAACTTTACAGCTGTATAGGTGCTTATTAACGTCATACCGTACAGATAATAAATATAACTTGACTTCCTAGTTACTATCAATAGCAAAAAGCCTTCGATCTCTTAATGTTAATAAATTATCTATTCTTACATATGCATATGCGCACATTGCGTGTGAGAACCATCAACCAATAAATTAGTTTTCCCATAGTTATAGTGATGAGAAGGCACACCAAGGTTGCTAGAAAAATCTTCTGGGCATTCTGAGAAAATTTATCTTTGGAGATACTTTGACAAGGTAAAAGGAATCTAGACACATAAGTGCTATGCCATATTCTGCCAATTTGCTGAAATACTATTCTCCCTTACTCCTAATTTTGTCGCTATTTAATTACTACGATGTTGAGTCTGGATCCTGCTTCACGCAAATGGATTGTGGACGAATGCAGAAAATCTAAAAGTCGTGTCTCAGGTTCATATTCGGCATCCGCAAGTTTGACAGAGTATCACACAAGCTAGAGAAGAGGAAGTTAGTTAGCTCAATATGGCTTCCAGAAGAAAATTTCATTTCGCAACATTATTTCATAAAATTGTCCCTACCAAAACTCCTCCATATTTATGGAATAGGATAAAATTGAGACATGATGTTCATAATTTAAATATTCGCAGTAAGTTCCGTATCTCTCCCCCTCTATATGAGAGATCATTTTTACACAATAGTTATCGAATATATAATGCTCTTGCTTTCCATTTTAAGAACCTGTCTCCCAAATCAAAGTCATTTACAAAAAGTATTATAATAAACGTTCAACAATAATTGTAGTAGAAGCTATATCCCCCTCACTGGTTTTCTGTTCTTGTCTACCCTATTTAAACTCGACCATTTATATTTTTCCTCGAGCAACATCGCATATAATTCTTACAGCATAATGTTGATTATTTTTGTCGCAATTGGGTCAGCTTTTTTCTGTATGCTGGACCTTTTTGCAATTACACTTATTGATTAAATAAGTTACTGTAATTACTGGTTGTAATTGTTAATAAATTTGTTTATTATTATAATTATTATAAAAGAGAAAACAGGTGGTTACATATTTTTGACAAAGGATTCAACTCAAGACAATTCAGCTTTTGAGGACATCATCCGAGGATATAATTACTAAGATTATGACAAATATAGGTAACTTTTTCTTGGGTGGTAGCCCATTTTAACAAAATGCTAGTTGGGACTAAGTATAAGTAAATCTGTGAAGAATGTCGTTGGATCAAGTTATAATCTCTATAGTTTTCCAAACCTCGTTGATTATATCAAAGCATTTGAGATTTTTGAATGTCAGAATAAAAGTCTTTGTTATTGAGAGAGACCCGTTTTCCGGTACGAACCTGGATAAGATGGATCTAGGGTAAGCCTCTTCTGGCAGTGGCACTGGAAACTTGCACAGGCAAATTAGGCGCAAAATCGATCTGAGAATCGTATTGCGTTAAATTAAAAAAGCGAAGCATTTAAATTCAATCATGTCTTTTCTTTTTCAGGTGAAATCCGTCTCGCCCGCCCGTTATCCACCCTGCCCATCTTGGACACCCGCCCTTTACTTCTAACCGTAGTAGCCGAAGAAGTCCGCGAGGACCCTTCAGAACCAGCTGCCCAATCCACTGCTGTCCGCCTCGCATTGTTGCCACCTTTAGATGGCCGCCCACTACCGCCCACCCCGCGGCCGCCCTTGGAACCACCCTCATTTGCCGCCCCTTTTTATATGGGGGAAGTCGAGGAGAACGCTGTGGTTGGAGCGATGGTCGAGATCCATGGAAAGGCAGAAGTGAATGTGCCGCAGGGGGTTGTGGTTGCGTTGGAGCTTAGGGGGAATAATGGTGAGGTCATTTGGGGCAATATTAAAATCACATAACACATTTAAGAAGAATTATTGTAAATATTTAGAAGCACAGAAATTCAGTGGACCAGCGGTAATCCGGACCCTGTCTAATCCGGCGTCACTGAAATCCGACAGTCTATCACTGTTGATTGTAAATAATTTTTTATTATTTTAAACTAATTTTTCGTGTCTTAACTCGTGGTTAGCGAATGAAAAGCTTTTGATTTTCTTGTTCAGGCTATATTAATGTTTTTTTGTTACTATTTGATTTTACAGTTTCATCGTTCTTTTATTCATTATACGATGAACAAAATATTTTGTTTTCTCTGTAACAGGTAATATCAAAACTACTTGACTTGATTTACATTGCATATATCTGATACCTGACTTGATGTCGACGCGCTTTCAAGTCAAGTCAAGTAGCTTGAAAATCAAGTCAAATAGTGGATACCTATAAGTGCTGGTAAAAGATATCAAAAGAAAGGTTATTCAACGAAAAGCATTATCAAGGCTTTGCTTAGCAGCAGATAGGCGTAGTTACCCTAATAAAATACAAAAATACACAGATCATTTAATAATTAATTTACGTACCTTTTTGTGTTCTACGTATCCGAAATGCTGCTCGTAAACATTTTTTATAATTGAAAACCACAAAACTCAATCACTGCTCCAGGTACATTCGACATATCTCCTGCAGTAATTGAAGGCCACTCCTCGTTTCAACTGTCAGTTCACGACTCAAAATTGCTGGACTATGAGGAACGAAGATCAGTAGAGTGCTTCATAGTTGCCAGAGAAATTGGAGCCAGAAATGCTACAACGGAAACTAAGCTCACCGTTCTTGTCAACGATATCAACGACAATCCTCCCAAATTCATCTTGGATACATTTCAGGTAACTTTACCTCCCTTATATTTTAGTCCTCAACACTTTCGCCTATAGCCTGGAAGAAAAAAAATCCCAAAACCTTGCAAACATTCTATGAATGGACATTTGGATTTGGGTAACTGAAATAGTCTTCTTTAGCATGACGAAAAGTTCCATATCCTGCAGTAGGCAGGTGCTGAAAATCTTTGAAACATGTTACGGTCCAGTAAAAACTATAGAATAAAGTTGTTAAGACAATTTTGTAGCTTGATAAATAAAATACAAAAGTTACCTGTGACATACATACAATCTGAAAACCAGAAACTATTATTAGGTATATTCTCAGGTTATCACTCGAAACTGTTGACAATGGGAAGAGGTTTTACAGTTTTTAAAAAATGTTGTCATGCGGATGTTTAGTAGAAAATACCAGTACGGCATCCATTTAAAATGCCTGCATTACACATTTATCTAAGAGATTTGGAACTTTAAAAATGTTTGGTCGAACTAAATTCGCCTCAGGGGGTCATGACCCCCATGACCCCCCCGCTGGATCCGCGCCTGCACCAGACATAAATTTGCAATATTTGGACCTCTAGCCTATCTCTTATTTATTTAGTGGGATCTGGGCCAGAATTGTAATGCTAAGATTCATAATTTCATGTAGCTATTCCATTTGTTTTTGCCAATTCAATGTCACTTTTAGGGTACCGTCAAAGAACATGCTTCTATCGGCACCACAGTACTGACAGTGAACGCTGTTGATGAGGACATGGTTGGAAGCAAAGTGAGATTCACTAAACTTACCGGTGATGGCAATGACTTATTTAAGTTGGATCCAGACACAGGTGTCATATCTGTAGCTAACTCTGCCAAACTGGATGCAGAATCCAACGCTGTTATCAGTCTGACAGTTGAAGCAGCTGACGAAAACGGAGAAGGCCTCTCGTCGACTGCAACTGTTGTCATAAGCCTCATTGATATCAACGATCAAACACCCTACTTCGAAAAGACCGTATATGAGTTTATTCTGAATCCTGAAAGAACTGCCTTCACAAATCCGGCATTTCTTACAGCAAAAGATGACGATGCTTCGTCTCCTAACAACGAAGTCCACTACGAAATTATTAACAAGCCGGATAACTTGCAGATCGATGAAAACACTGGCGAAATACTTGTAAAAGGGAAGTGGGAAGAAACCAGAATATTGGTGAGTTGACAGTCTCGATATTAAAAAAAAAATAGTTCCGAACTACCTAGCTCTTCGAACCTGAAGATAGAGCTGTATATGTTTTCCGTAGTACTAATTATCATATTACATTGCTCTACTTTGTTCAGATGCCCCTTCAGGTCTCTTGTGCAAATTAATAAAGTAATTTATTTCTCATGCTTACCTGTACCTCTTCGTTTCAACACTACTTGTGCTTGCAATATTATCCAACCCGTGAATTGGAAGTTCACTGATTGTACGCTCTAAATGTATATGTTATAGGCGATTCTGGTTAGCTTAGCTGCATTTTTATTGATAACAAGAACTTTATGATAATAATAATAATAATAATATTTATTACCCTCATTAAACAGTATATAAAAGTTTACAAACAAAAAGCCTTAAGAGAATAAAGGCCTACATCAGCTTGCCCCTTAAAGAAGCAGTTGCTACAGCCAAAAAAAAAACAAATAAATTTAAACAATTCTATAATAATGCAAATGGCTATTAAGACATGGATAATTAATAATGTTTTGATATTAAGAAATATAGAGTAAGTAGAGAAATGGAAATTTAGAGTGAGAAAAGAAAGCGAGGGGAAAGAGAAGAAGAGAAAAGGGGGAGCAGGAGATATGTTTTCTATATGATATCTGAGACAGTAAATCACTTTTAAGGTTCCTCTTAAATGTAGCTACCGAGAGAGAAAAATCTTTAATTTTGAATCTATTTACCAAAAAGGCAATTTGATATGAGAATGATTTCTTAAATGATTCTTTATTGTGTGATGGTATTGTAATCAAATGCAATTTTCTAATGTTATGTACGTCAGTCCGGTAACTAATTTTTAAGTGAAGATAAGGGGGACTTTTATATTTTATAATCTTGTAAAAAAAGGAAGTAGAGTGCAAGGTACGCCTCTGAGCTATATTCAACCATCCCAGTTCAGGTAGTTTGTGGGATACCCTTGTGCCAAACATCAGTCTCAGGCAAGAATTCTGAGCTTTTTGAACCCTTTTTAGTTCCACACTATCAAGAAATGGGTCATATACCATATCAGCAAAGTTGAAGTGGGCCAACACTAAATCTTCGCAGATCGTGGCTTTAGTATTTTGTGATAGGTAATGTCTATGGGGGTAAATTATTTTTAACATTGAATATGCTTTTCTCAGGCACGGAGTAATGTGCTCGCTAAACTTAAGCTTAAAGTTAAGCACTGAGCCCAAATCCTTCATGGAATCCCTAAATGATATTATATTGTCCCCTAGTTTGAGCTTAATATTATTTTCTAATACGTTTCTGTAGGAATCACTGCAAAACAATATAGCCGTCGATCCACTAGGGTTTATCTTTAACAAGTGATCTTCAGAGATTTTGAGAAGGCTATTCAAGTCGGTATTCAGTCGGTTTGTTATAAGTTCTGACAGATCAGGTTTATATAGGCTATACAATAATGGACCCAAAATACCACCCTGGAGCACCCCTGATGTAATTGTAACTATATCTGATGTGTTCCCACCCAAAGTTACGCGCTGCATCCTTTCAGATAAAAAAGAATTTATTAATGCATAGGCAGGCTGCCCAAACCCAATATATTTCAGAATAGCTACCGGTATCTCATGATTAATCATGTCAAATGCTTTCGTGTGGTCCGTGTACCCGGTTCTAAACCCTGACTGTCTAGGGGGGATGATACTTTTGGCAAAAACGTAGGTAGCAACTTGAATAGCGATTGCCTTTTCCAAAAGTTTAGAGAGGGTCGGTAAAAGCGAGATTGAACGTAGTTGACCAAATTCTGTCGGATTGTTAACCTTAGCCAATGGAAGCACATTGGCCAGCTTCCAGCTTTTAGGAAAATAAGACCTTTTAATACAACTATTTATAATATGGGTAATATAAGGAGTATCAGGGTAACGTTCAGGCTATCAGCGCCAAAAGCCTTCGTCTTGATACTGAGGATACTATTTAAAACAAAATCTTCGTCGATTAAGTTAAATGAGAAGGTTTCATTAAGCAAGGAGTTGTTGTTATAGAAATGCAACAATTCTTGTTTTGGAGTATTATTTTGTGATATTTGGGCAAAGTAGGTCATAAGTTCATTAACATTCCTTAAATAGTCGGCGTTTCGGCCAATAAATTGAAGGGTCGTGTAGTATGCGGGAATGACCTTGAAATGACCATCTATCCTTCTGTTCAAAATCTTGCGAATCTTGTTCCATTACCTCCCAAGATAATTCACCGTTTCCGGAATTTTTGCCATTCCAATGTAGTCAAAATGATCCCTTTAGCTTGACTCTCAATTTATATTTAACATTATGACTCTTGCAGTTCTGAACATTTCTAGTAATTAATGTATTCGTGCTGATCCAACCAGGTTCTAAGAGCCAGAGCTTGGGATGGCGGTGTTCCAAGGCTTTACAACGAGACTGAAGTTAGAATTTATCCACCCGATGGTCAAGCTTGGAAGATGAAATTTATAGTACCGGGAAAGTACCCAGACAGAGGAAGTGTCAGTGAAACAATAAGAACTTTAACTGGGGCTAATGTTAGTATAGATAGGATAAGGCCTTTTACTGGACACGAGCCTGAAGCTACCTATGTTACAGCTGACCAAGACCAGGAAAAGTAAGCATATGTACTTAAAATTAGGCACCATGAATCAGTTAGCAATAAAAAATTGGCTTATCTGAGAATCAGCCATGAAAATTATATCTTTAAATAGTTGACAAAACTAGCTGTTTTTGAAAATGATTTTGGTCATTTAGGTCAATTCAATCTTTACTTTTTCAGAAGTGTAGTGGAGGCAACATTAACCTATTCGAAAAACTCTGTCGTGGACTTCAACAAAATCAAAGAAATCGTGAATAACAAAATAGAGCAAAATAAAGTTCTCCGTGAAAGAGAGATCATCAGAATAAAGGAGAGCAACAGTACTGGACTCTTGGGCTTCCTCATCTTACTATTCATTTTGCTTCTCATTGCTCTAATCACACTTATACTCTGTTGCTTATGCAAACAGTGTCCACTATACGGATACGTACTGTACAAGAAAAACAAAACACCGATCGTAGAAAAAGTCGTGAAGATTGATCAGATACAGACCGTGGCCAGTGAACGAGATAAAGAAAGTAAATCCGTTCAGGTTGCAGAATGGTTCGGAAGAAGAGAAGCTTGGACACCAGAAGCAACCATGGTCGAAGCGGAAGTAGATTCATTAAGGAGGCATGAAATGGAGCGAGGCTCAGATCGTGGAGGAGGCAAGAGGAGCTACAGGCAAAATCAGGTTCATCACGAACCTTTACGTGATCAGTATTACATTAGGGAAGGAAATACTGATATCCTAAGATTAGTCACCAGGGGTGGGGAGCAACAACAAAGGCCTATCACTTTAGTCGCGGATAATCATTATATGGTTGACAGTGGCAAGGATATACTTATGAGGAGATATATTGACCAACAACAGACTGAAGCAGCTAGGGCACAGGTACATTTTCTAGCTTTTGATGCAGTACAACAGCTAGCCAAAAATATGTTGAATATGGTCAAATATGCGGGATCAGGTGGATGGTGCTAATACGTGACGTGATTTTTAAAAACGTAGCCCAACTCACTATAACTTATCTGTTTTAGTTAGAAACACCATACTTGAATATCTAATTGTAATTCAGTTTTGCAATCGAGAGTAGTTAGACCTTTATAAAATAGAATGAGTTCTAAAAAAAAATAAATATCGCAGGCTAACTAACATTTCTTTGATGAATTCACGTTTTCAAAACACCAAGGGCTTAAAAATGTAATAAAAACTCACTATACATGGTGTTCCTTGATGATATGCGAATATTTAAGGGTGTGACTCTACTCGAAAAATTAATGTTAGTTTGCTTTATAAACTATGGTCCAAAAATGTTTCCTTACAAAAACTCGGGGTGTTGAAGTTTTATACCGGGTTTACATGTAGCCACTGCCGCTGCCACTCGCGCTGCCCACTATCCTGCCGTAAATAATTCCGCGGCAGCATTTTGTTTACATGCAGCCACCCTTCTAACCTACCATAAACTGCTTCCAAAAAACTTTATATTACATCAAATGCAAACCAAATGGCCTGACACACCTCATCTGCACCCGCTCCTGCATCTAATCGAAACGTTTTTCTTTTTTAATAGCGACTGAAATGTTGCCATTAGCGATTTTTTTTTCGACTTAAGCTCTGGTATTGGGATGTTTTTCAATCCTACCATAATAATCTTTCAGCCGCATATAGCTCTGAAAACTTCAATACTTGATCATTGCTCCACTCAATCATGGTCCAAGTGTATTTTAAAACGAATAATTTGCCAAAAAAGGAATAAATTAGGTTAAGATACCCCGTGTCCACGTGGTAAGGACAAGACTGACTGTTGGTCCAGCGGGCAGCATGTAAACGGCCGCTGTCGCTCGTGCTGCTGGTCCTTTGACTTCCGTCCAAAAAAACCGCGAACGAAGGGAGCATGCGGCAGCGGCAGCGGCATGAGCATTGGCAATGCGAGCTGCGTATTTACAAACTCGCGCTGCCCAATTCCCTGCCCACTGCCGTGGAAGTGGGCTGCATCTAAACCCGGTATTAGGAAAAAAATAGAAATTAATTAATATTTTCAGAACCCTCTCAGATATTTCACTGATATTTAGTACGTAGTGAAAGTAAATAAAGTTGCATATTTTTCGATGCAAAAATAATTTTTAGCTTTAACAGTGGCGTGCATACGGGTATTGACTTCGACATTTTTTAAGAAAAAATGGTACGCCAATCGTTTTTGCTAAATGAAAATTTTTGAATTCCATGTTCAATTTAAAACAAATGATTTTTCTTGAATTGTTTTCCTTCGATGCGCCATTTTTGAGTAAAAAAATAAAATTAATTTAATTGGAAAAATTCAACACATTAGGGGTAATGAACAACAACAATTGATGACATAAACATAACATTAAAACCAACGAAATGATTACAAAAACTGTTGAAATGTCTGTCCGTCAAGTCGTCCCGGTAAGAAGAATGGGCCAATAAAGTGGTTGCCAATAATTTCTGCCCATACGTTAACCGAAAATTGATGTTGGAAATGGGTTTCGGTTACGGCATAGGGATTTTCTTCTGCCCACAAATGATTATTGTGGCAATTCTGAATGGCATTTCGAGAAAAATTAGCTTCGTCCGTGAACAGAATCATTGATTCAAATTGCGGATTTTGTGTAATTTTTTAAAGATACCACTGACAAAAGGTCACACGCCTTGGAAAATCAATGGGAAGTAATGCTTGTACTCTTAAAATATTGTAAGGATATAACAAGAAATCCACTAAAATTCTCCAAACACTTTGGTGGCAAATATTTAAGAGTCTAGCGATCTTCTTCGTATTCGTTTCAGGATGTTCTTCGACTTCGTGCAGCACTGCTTCCTCAATTTCAGGTGCTCTCAAACTTAGAGGTCTATCTTCAGATATTCCTTTTCGGATAGAACCAGTTTCAACAAGACGACGATGAATATTAGAAAAGGTTCGACTATCTGGCAAAGCACGATCGGGATATCTCTGGAGATAAATTTTCTGTCTTGCTCACCATTACCGTCGGCAAGGCCATAGACGTAATCCATTTCCGCCATTTCTGCATTTGAATAATTCACCATTATTAACAAAATTGTAAAAACTAAATAATGGAAAAGATGTCACAGCGAACAGATTTGGATAACAGAATCTTGTCAGATGTCAAAAGCCAGTGACATATTCCGGAGCAACTAGATATAAATTGCTAAATTGCATTCCTCAATTATTACATTAATTTTCCCGGACAATAAAATGGTTTTTATTGTTTTACTCAAAAATGGCGCATCGCAGGAAAGTAATTCAAGTGAGATCATTTGTTTTAAATTGTACGGGGAATTCAAAAATAATCTTTATTTGGCAAAAAATCATTCGCTTACCATTTTTTTCTTAAAAAATATACAAGTCAATACCCGTACGCACGCCACTGTCAAAGTTAAAGATTATTTTTGCATTGAAAAATATGCAGCATCATTAGCTTTCACTACGTACCAAATATCAGTCAAATATCTGAAGCGGTTCTGAAAATATTAATTAATTTCCATTTTCTTTTTCCTAAAACTTCAACACCCCGAGTTTTTGTAAGGAAACATTTTTGGACTATAGTTTATAAAGCAAACTAACATTAATTTTTCATGTTGATTCACACCCTTAAATATTCGCATATCATTAAGGAACACCCTGTATATCGCAGGGTCCTAGTGGAGTGCAAGTTGTTATCCAAAAATCATGTAAAAATCAAAATAAACAGCTCTAGTCTGTTTGTGCGTCAGAACGTTAGAATACACCAAAATATAATTGAGATCACAAAACGTAGACATTGTTAGTGAAAGTGTCTGAAATACTTTGGAGTTAACAGATGCAAATTTTATAACCTTTAGATACATGTCTGCATACTCGGATAATATGCCTAGATGTTCCTTCAAAGTTGTAATTTGTAATGCACAGTACAGTACCCCTTTTGAACTTCCAATCTCAGGAGCTTTGGTCCAATTCAATACGGAAAATGAATTTTAGGCATTTGAAAAAATATACCTACCAAGGAATCACAAACACGAATTTCTTTACAGGTATTGCTACCAAATGCAGTTGATAAGATTCAGAGTGACCGCGAGCTTATAGAAGCATCTTTGAGACAACAAAATGCCTTACTGAGACAAATTCTCTTGGAGCGAGAACGTGATTTGAGACTGGAGACTCAATCATTGCCCGCAGGAACACAGACAGATCAGGACGCTGAAACTCAAACAGAACCGCAATATCTTAGACCTCCAGTGAGAAAAGTAAGGTCAGACAACGATCAAAGTGACCTCAGTGAAGATGACGATGATGAGATAGCTATAATCAGAGCCAAGGCTAAGAGGCGGCATGCCCAGAAAGTACATTTGAGAAGGAAGATCAAGACACCAATTCAGGAAGAAGTAGAGTTAGAAATTGTAGAAAGGCCGCAGAAGGTGAGATATAAAGAAAAGGAACCAACGTTCAAAATGACCAAAACTAGCAGATTAAGGCAGAAAATAGCTTCCAGTGAGGTCAGATCCTCACAATCTAGGTCACAGTCTAGATCCCAGTCCAGATCGCATTCAAGGTCACAATCTCGATCTCATTCTAGGTCTCAATCAAGACCTGCATCCAGATCGTCAAGGAATGGGCTGAAGAAAGAGGTATTACGAGAGATCACCGCTTCATTGGAACACAGTGCTAATAGTGATGAAGATAGAAAGTATTACAGTGAAACAAGGGAGTCTAATGAAATTTACTCGGACGACAGCTTGGAAATAAGCCCAAGGTCAGATAAAACAACCGACTCGAAACAAAAGTATCATTCTGAGTCCGATCTAAGAGCCTTCTCATCCCAAAGTCAAATAAATTCATCTGAAAGTCGCACGAAAGAGCGGCAGAAGTCTCAGAGCACCACAGATCTAAGTAAAGCAAGCAACGAGGCTAAGAAGGTGGTGAAGAAAAAACGTCGTACATCGAGGTACATGGAGTGGTATACCAAGAAACATGAGCCTACGAGCAAAAAGCCTGCACCTAAGGTCGTGAAGGCTAATGGAGTTGATCCAATTATTGGTTCCAGACTATTGAAAGAAACTGAGTCGAGTTCGAGGAAAAAAGTTGATGGTAAAAAAAACTCCAAAGGTCCCGAGCATCCTCTACTACAACATTCAGGTATGTGCATTTGCGTCGTTTCTTTTTATCTATATTTATGCAAAATACGTTACACCAACAAATAAGTGCCTTAGGGTGTCTATCATCCATACCTAGAACGTTCTTGAACACTAGTATCCCAAAAAGTTAAAACATTATTTTAGTTAGCGAGCAGAAGTTAAAAAATAACTTGAAACGGAACATACTGTAAGAATTGAACCAACATCAGTGGAGTAAACTCATGCAGTCTTATGGTGAGGCTCATGTCGTTGCTCTTCATATCACGAAACCGTTCGATCAGCTGTGGTACGCTGCCCTCTTATGCAACCTTCCACCCTATAGTCTCCCAGAGAAGCTCTGTAGATGGGTGGCTGACTTTATATCTGACCACAAGATATCCATCGTAATTGACGGGATCTCCTCTTCATCCCACAACGTCAACGCGGGTGTTCCCCAGCGATCTGTATTGGCTCCGAAACTGTTCCTCTTACATATCAACGACCTCCTTTCCTGCACGATCAACCCAATCCACAGCTTAACCTGATGACAACGCTCTACTTGCAGGAATTCAGAGCTGACTGTCTCTCTAGCCGCAAGATATCCGTTTCGATGGATGGCCGAGTTCTGCCAAAGAGCCGTTCATTTCGGCTGGTCGGAGTCCGGATCACCCAGGACTTGATCTGGCACGAGCACATCTCGTCAATAGCGGCAGCTGGTGCGAATAGTTTAAGGCTAAAAAGTAATTCTCTCCACACCCCTCACTCTATACCACGCCCAGATAAGTCCTGGCCTCGAGTATTGGTCACGCGTTTGGGATGCTGCCGCCAAGACTGCATTATTTGTGCTTGATGCTATCAAGAGGAGGGCTGGCCGACTGATCGATGACTCTTCTCTACAGACTACTTCCCACCGGCGAACCGACGGCGATCTAGCTGTGTTCTACCGCAACACCAACGAGCCTTGCTCCACAGAGCTCTCTTTCATGATGCCGCCGCGAGATGTGCCTGCCAGCCAGACCCGCCTGACTTCGGCCTTCCATCGTAACCTTGTCGAACATCGAACATCCAGAACTGGCCGATACGACCGTTCCTTTGTCCCGAGGGTGTCGAGTTTGTGGAATAATCTACAAGAGAGGCTTTTACCAGCTAACCTTAGGCAGTTCCCAAATCAGATTAACAAAATTTCTTTGGGGTCCTCATTCCTTCTTATTAAAACTTCTATCTGAATTTCCATTTACGCATTTTTTTTTTTGTTTATAACAAGAACACCGGTTCGAGGCGCGATACCCTCTAATCCAAAACCAAAACCAAGGGCAGAGTAGGAGACCAGAAGAGGATACAGACTCGGGAATAGCATTGACCAGGCCTCCGATAGCCGAGAAGAAAAGTGTCTTCACAATCGCTTACAACGATATGCACACCAGTCAACTCAGACCTGACAGCATTACGTCGCCTTAGCAACAGCTTAGAAGCTGATTATAGATTAGTGGTTAGTGGTTAGGGATTTTGAGGTCATAAAAATTCAGAATGTGAGGATTTGCAATTTCATCGGTCTATTTCATCACTCCTGAATTTTGCAAAGTTTTTAATGAAACTGACCTGAGAAAACTGAGCCATTAAAGCATATGAAATCAAGCTGAAGAAATACTCCCACTTTCTTATTCTGCAATTCCATTTTAGGGTAATTGTTGTACAACGGCTGTAATCATCTTTTTGGTGGAACAAATGCCTGTTTTAACTACTTCGTTAACGACAATTTTGTCTATAACGAGAGTAAGGATATGTCACTTATACAGTGTTTTTCAAAAAGGCTCCCTCCACTAGTTTTTGGAAGGAGTCAAGTTAGCAAAAGGTGATACTTGAACATTTCTTCGAACATATTTTTTAATGGACTGTGTATTTAATATCTCATCTTGAAGCTCCTTACCAGTAGTTATTGGTCCTATAATATTAATATATTTCAAAGTCCGGACTGGGATTTTGTTAAGCTGAACAATTAGTCATTGAAACGTTATGGTGCTAGCTTATTTTTTTTGAAGTGTCTTTTTGGATGTGTAATAAAATATGTGACAACCGGTTTAGAAAAATTGACAGATTTTTACATAGTTTAATAGCGAAACGTTGCATATTTTATTACTAATTCGGCTAGATCCTCGCAAGAGAAGATTATTGTTATACTATAGGATTTTGATGACTGGTTAATGCAATGAATAAGATGTTTTTGTCCGTTAAATATTTCCAATCGGAAACATTATTAATGTATAAGTTTTTAGTTCATTTTATTAACAGCTGAATAAAAGCCTGTTTTAAAAAATGTATTTTTAAATCTGATTTATTTTTTGCTTCATAGTATTCATGTTGTCAGATAACTAGTTTGGTTATTTTTAAATAATTTTCATATATTACATTAACTTTATTTGTATTATAATATTGGATTTAGAATGATGTCATGTTGTATATTGCGTTTCCTCGACGAGCATTTGCTACCCAGATCCATTATGAAAAATGGAAATCGCCATTTTACGGAGACCGCCATATTTTATTTTGAACGGCATCACTTTGCCTATTGTGTTTCTCTCAACAAGTCCTTCCATTTGATATCCATATCATAGAAGTTACTTTGGAGAGGATGAATCGCCATTTTGTAGAATCCGCAATATAGGATTCAAAATGGCAGCAGTTAATTCATTTTGTATTTTCACGGGAAACAAACGTGTTTACAAAAGTCCAGATCAATTGGTCAACTGGTTAAAAATTCAATAACAAAATTTGTCCCACACATATCACCAAGTCAAGTTAAATCAAAGCTTGTAATAAAAACGGCCAACTTTGAAAGCTTGTCAGCCTGTCAGTCTTGTTAAAAGATAGTGATTTTATCAAGGGCGTACCCAGCTCAAAACGGAATGAGGATATCTTGAAAAAAATGTTTGGTTGAAGTTCTACAAATCATATTTACTTAACTATGCTTGATATTTTTCTTTCTATTTGCATTTCATTGTTTGGTTCATTCATATGTAGAGTCTTCCACAATACTTTGACGATTCATATGGATAGGATTACTTTTTTGAAACACAAAAATATTACACTAGATGCTTCTTTAAGTAATAATTCAGTTGTTTGCAATTCTTGAAAGCAACACTTGATATAACATACCTGTATGGAAAAATGTTTGCTATACTGCAAATTTTATATACTTTTTTTGGGCGTACATATTCCTCAAAATTCAAACAGGGTGCTCATTTTTACAGTCAAGGCAATAGGCCAGGAAGTACTGTAACCGCGAAAAAACTGCAAACGGGAGAATTAGCTTCAGATACAACATAGTACGAGCCCCTTCCCACTTCAGTTGGCCCACTTCAAGATTTGCACCAAAATATGCCTTTATAAACTAAACATGACGGAAACTATTTACTTCGAAAACAATTTATTTTCTCAAAAACATTTTAGATACACTCTAGTCATAAAAAATACATATTTGAAATCACTTAGACCTATAACTAATACAACATCTGAACAAATAAACAATGTGCGAATAAATGCGCGAAGTTAACAAAGCAACAATTGAAAGATTACCATTACCATTTTTTATTACGGCTGAAATTCTTTGGAGCATAGTGTTAACCAAGTTTTGGCAAAAATTTGGTGTAAAACAATCCCATATTTCTTGAAGCTTTTGTCTCAGTTCGGCGATTGTACGAGCAGGATGTTGTCGTAGAACCTTTTTCATCTCGTGCCACAAAGTTTCAATAGGTGACAGATCTGGACTACTAGAAACCCATTTCAAAAGTGGTACATTATATTCTTACATCCATTTTATAGCCTTTTTTGAGGTATGGCACGCTGCACCATCTTGCTGAAACACAAAATCTTGGCCGGATGTCAAACATTCTTCCATCACTGGTAAAAGCCTTTTGATGACATACTGCCCCAGACCATAATGGATGCTGGAAATTTCACTTTTCTCTGCAGACAGTCAACATGGAATGCTTCATTTTTTTGCGAATAACTCTACTGCGACTGTCACCAACACAAGCTTCGAATCGGGCCTCATCACTCCATTGTATTACTCACCATTGTTGAGGTGTCCATTGTCTATGTTCTTTAGCCTATCTAAGCCAATTTTTCTTTTGCAGTGGAGTTAATAGTGGCTTTTATTTGGCCTATAAACAAGTTGTGCAACTTTAGGGTTTTTACTTCACTTTTTTTTTATAGGAAAACTTACCTTGCAAGTGCTAAATCCCAGTTTGTGGGCCTCTCTATGAGTTGTGGACCTCGAAATTCCCCTTCCAACAGCGTCACTCCACAGAACACTTAATTGTAAATAATTGGCACGCCTTTTCACGATTATTCTTTTTAATGCTCTTCGGTCGGCATTTGTGATATTACTTTTTTTCACATATCGTGGCATAATATTAACTGAACCAGTTACGTTATATCTTCTAACAATATTTCTCACACTGTACCGCGATAAGTCTAACAAAGTTGCAATTTCTGAGTTTGATTTCCCAGAAAAAAAAAATTAATTATCAGTAACCCAATTTTCTCACTATAATAGCTACCCAAAACTATTTTAAACGTATTCTGACAGCCGTGATTAATAAAAACAATTGTCATGGCTTTTATTTTTCACAACCACCTATGCGTTATAGACTTATTTCGCATTGAAATGAAAATAGGTTGATATGCTGTAATTGCAACATGTGTTATTTTTATGCTGCAAATTTGATTAGAGAGTGATAAAGTTGGTGTTTTCTACTATATATTATCAAAATATTCACTGTTAATATTTTAAACTTATAACACCCTGCTACATTTTTATCATTTGTGCTTGATAAGAAAAAAACTAAGATTTCAATAGTTGGGCCAACTGAAGTGGGAAGGGGCTCGTATATATATATATATATACAGGGTGGCCATTATACAGGGTGTTCCACTTTCGACCTACATATCAAAGTTGTGATTTTTCAAATGGAATGCCTCAAATTTTATTGCATATTTGGATAACCCAATTCAAAAGAAGTAAATTGATATAACATACTATGGGGTTTTGATAATTAGCTACTGGCATACATATAAGGTGTTTTATCTAGAAAAATCCCCACCTCGGCAACCCCTCAGTCCGTCATTTTGAAATTTGGTGTGCTTACACACCTCAGCTTTTATCTTATTTGTTGATCTTTTGGATTTTAATTTGTGCTCATACAGGGTGTGGTCGAAACGCAAATTGTAGTTTTTCTCAAAAATGTCGAATGCATCACCCTGTATATTTGTGCAAGTTTGGATTCAATTTTTTATAAGCTTTTTTTGATACTAGACATAAGGGTTTTTACGGCTATTTTTCAGTTATTAGCACGTCTTTTATGGAACGGCTTAATTCCCTAAAATATCACATCATCCTTGGAAACAAATAAATTGTAGATTAGTTACAAACTATCAAAACTAGCTTTATGAGCATTATAATAAAAACGTCTTTGAAAATGAATTTTTCTAAAGAAGCCCAAAGAAATAGTTTCCTAGCATCTCGCAGTTACAAGCAACGGTACCCTAATATGCGACATCCAAGGCCGGAAACATTTCCCACACTACGAGAACGTTTTGAATCAAGTGTAGCAGTGGAATATAGTAAAAAATGTATAAATAATCCAAGTGTCACCAATGAGGCGATTCAGTTGGAGGTTCTATTAAAGTTGGAGGAAAATCCCCATTTAAGTGGCAAATTGGAGCAGAAACTGATATATGCAAAACTTCTGTCCAAGGGATTATTCACAAGTATAGGTACGGCTGTGTATTCAACATGGTGAAGATATTTTAGAGCAGTTTTTGTAGAGTAGTGTTAGGTGTTTGTTTAAGTTGTTGTAGTTGTTTTTCCTATCAAGCTTGAAGCTGATTTATACTGTTCTCAGATCTGTACTCTTAGTGGCATTATGGCATTAGCCCACTGTTTGTCTTTTGTTTCCACGGATGATGTGATTTTTTTCCTTAATTTTGGTGCGTTATTCTATTAAAAGCTTAATAACCCAAAATCTAGTGATTTAATCTGAATCAAATCTTATACCAAAAAAAAAGCTTATAAAAAATTGAATCCAAACTTGCACAAATATACAGGGTGATGCTTTTGAAGTTTTTGACCACCCAGTATGAGCGAAAATGAAAATTCGAAAAAGTAACAAATAAGATAAAAGCTGAGGTGTTTGAGTTTTTTTTATATAAAATTCAGCACTCCAAATTTCAAAATGCCGGATTGAGGGGTTGACGAAGTGGACGGTTTTTCTGGACAAAACACCTTACATCTCAGTAGCTAATTACCAAAACCCCATAGTATGTTATATAAATCTCCTTCTTTTGAATTGGTTTATCCAAATATGTAATAAAATTTGAGGCATTCCATTTAAAAAATCACATATTTGATATGCAGGTCAAAATTGGGACACCCTGTAAAATTGAAAATATTTTAGAAATGTGCCCTCAAATGTCATGTATAATATGACATAAATAGATTTTCCCAAAATGTATTTGTTTATGAGTAATATTCCGTCCACACATGGATGGACCACCCTGTATACTATACGATATACATTTTTTGTACCATTCGTCCGGTGATTCTTGGCCCTCTATTACAGACTAATTTAATCATTGCTCCTTCTATATCTTTTCTGATGATTTTAAACGCAATCAAAAAAATTTTCAGAGGAGACAAACTTCAGAAAGAAGAGTGTATTTGAAGGATTCGAAGATTGTGAATTTGGGCAAAACTCGTTTTTTTCCACTCACTTTTGTATAACTCCAAATACAGCACGAGCAACACGAATGCAACTCGAAAATATGTGGAGTGGAATTTATGTTGAAAAATCGGGAAATTGCTGATTCTGGGCAACTTTTTGATCAAACTCAAGGTTATATGTCTATTGAACAACTGGGTAAGGAAGTCGTTCATTTCTTGCCGAAAAGTGCATTAGTGTAAATGTGAAATAGTAGCCAAAGTTAAAGCCGTTGTAGTGATTAACATAGAAAAAAAAAATCTTCAAAATGGTCAAGCTATCCAGCGACGTAATTGCTGCAACAAATTAGACTTACAAGGTGAGTTTTAAGCTCATATCTAACATAGATTCCAACAAATCCAGCTTGTGGAGAACCCTGTAAATGGATAATTTATGCATTGTATCCTTTTCATTTTTGCTGAGCTGAACTCCCCCCTTGCCCCCTGGGAACGCCCTTGGATTTTATATATTATTACAGAATACTTATAGCAAACCTTGAAATGGGGTCACACAACCTCCCCCTCCAGTCCATTAAAAAAAGTGG